TATGCACAAGATTTTATTAGTAGTCGGCTGAGGATAAAAAGATTTTCGCGTCTTCATTCGTGGTTTAAAGTTGGTGTTGTTACCTTAGCTGAAATGAAAGGATTTATATCTGTAATACTGAATATGGGCCTCATACGTAAACCATCCATGACTACAAGATATTGGAACACAACATTCCCAAGTCAAGATACTGTTTAGTTTCGTAACATATTTTCAAGAAATCGATTTCAAAGCATTCTAAAAAAATTTCATATCGTAGATAATACTACATTACCGAATCGGAACGATGATAATTATTCACCTATACTTCAAAATTCCAGTGCTTCGTGGATCTTTTTAATCGACAGTCGAAACAACATTACAAACCAAAACAGAACCTTAGTATTGACGAAAGTTTAGTCGCTTCTAAAGGCCGGTCATCCATAATACAATATATTCCTTCTAAAGCGGCGAAATTTGGACTTAAACTTTGGGTACTAGCCGAGGCCGTCAGTGGGTATATTTACCAACTCAGTGTTTATAAAGGCAGACAATACGACCCAACACCACATGGCATGTTGCAGGGTGCATACGTTGTCAACAAACTGTTAGATACCGCAGGATTGTTTAACAAAGCTTATCTTTTATTTACTGACAGTTTTTTCTCCTCAATCAACCTTGCTAAAGAGCTTTTAGCAAAAGAAACATTGTTTACTGGAACTTTACGCGCTAATCGGCAAATGCCAAATACAATAAAGAATCCTGTTTTGCAGGAAAAGGAAAGTGTTTATATCAGACAAGGAAGAATTCTTCTTTGTGCATATAAAGAACGGAATGGTCGAAAACCCGTAAGACTCATATCCTCCTTTTCAAAAGCAGCACAAGAAAATGATAAACCGGCTATGATTTGCTCGTATAATAAATTTATGGGGGGCGTAGATTTGGCTGACATGATGTCAGAGAGTTACAATGATGGACGAAAAACGTTAAAAGTGTGGAAAAGGTTGTTTTTAATCTGATGCACCGTATGGTTATCAATGCATACATTATTTACAAAAAAAAATACATCTGATAACCCTAAACTGTCAAGATTAGCTTTCACACAAAAGCTTATTGAGGATCTCGCTAAAGACCACATGATGCAAAGCAACGAAAACCAAGACAGTAGACACAATAAGAACAAACACGGAATCAGGAAGTTGCCCGGTCATCGAGAAAAAGATTGCGATGTATGTTCAGACAGGAATGGTTACGGGGGTCGAATTAAGGAGGAGTAGGACAGTGTGTTGAGTTTGCGGTAAAGGTGTGCACCGGGAGTGTAAAGACAATCATTTGTGGGTTGAATCTTGATTAAAAACATATTTTTTGTTTCTAATCAAATGTTTTCATTGAATACCAGGTGTTAAGACAACCCACTTCACTTACATGAATTAATTATTTATAATGCATCAAATCCACATCCCCTTCCATAAAGATGGCTTTGTACTTGCATGACAAGCACTTTTTAAATTACTAGTTAAATTCTAGTATTTGAATTCGCTCATTGAATGTTTTATGCTTGTTGTTTTGTTTGATAATTCCATTATCATGATCCATTCCAGCGCACTATTCAGTCGGAAAGCTGACCCCGGTTTGACCCCATTTCTTAAAGCAACAATGGAAGTCATGTGACTACCATATTTGGGCATTTTTTGGGTCATTTTTTCTTCAACTGAAACGACTCTGTTTCCTCCAAAATGTCATATCAAATGAAACCAAAGCATGCTGTACGTTACAAATGCCAATTGTGTATACTTTTTAGAAGTTCTCACATAAAAATTGTTTTGATTAAGCGTACTGAATTAGAATACGAAGACTTCAAACCAAAGGTCGTCACTCGTCGCGTCAAGTTTTTTCAACACATCAGTTGAAATTTCTTTCTTAACTTCTGGGGAACCTATGCTGAATTTAAAATATGCAATGAGGCTTTTTATAAACTGGCCCGTGTCAAATTTGTGCCACTTAATACGCTGTTATACGCAAATGTGCCACTTTGATGTGTCAATATTTCTGACGAAGCGGTGCCGATAGTAATTTACGAGTTACGTCCCTTTGTTGACACTTTTCATGAACAAACTTTTAGGTACTATCAAGCACCATATACTGTCATTTACAAGTGGATATTATTAAAATAATTTATTATCTTTTTACTATATATATTTTGATTTTATAAAGACATATGTAAAACAATTAGGTAAACACATTTTATCATTTTTACAACAATTTCAGAACTGAAATAGGGCTTTAATATTACAGTTAATGTTACTCTGTGCCATAATATATTATTCCAAGAGTAGCTTTGATATTTATATTTTGGTAAATATTTTTATTGCTTTAACCAAATTATATAAACACAGAAATAAATTTCTACTACATAAAGACAAGGGGAGCCAAAATATGCTTGAATACTTGACCTAGACAGGGTTAAAATGATCACAAACAGGAATTCCTTTTCAATACTGATACCTGATCCTACCTTTTGCCTATAGGATATACATTTAAAAGAGATAAAAATCAAAGTATTCTCAATGTAAATTCTTCATAATTTGGAATAAAAGGAATTGGTTTGCAATCCTTGTATGATTAAACTAATATATATAACAATAAATTTTGTCTCATTGATTCCATGCAAATTCTACTGAATGGACTCAAATTATAAAAAAAGCCTAAACCAATGGATTTAAATGGTTTATAATCATGAACTTGCGAATAAATAAGAACGAGAAAGATTCAATTTCATATTTTCCTTCTTCTATATAAACAAAATCAATAAATAACTATGCATTATTAAAAGTACTTCAGTTTCTGGCCCCGTATTCACAAAACTGTCGTAACGCTACGACTGTCGTAAGGTAAGGTTTACGATATCGTAAGTTGTAACTTGTATTCACGAAAGAAATTTACGATGCGAGATGTTGTAAATATTGTTATAGAATTACGACTGCTCGAAGCCTGTCGTAAGTCGGAAAGTCATTATCGCAAATATGGCTGCAGCGTTAATATTGAGAGAAAACGATAGGTTTTTTTTTCGACGCGAAAGAGTATTTCTGGATAGATCTAACCCATTAGAAAGGCCTGATGATTTTTTATAAAGGGCATACAGATTTCCGAGGCATAAAATAATTGAGCTGTGCAATGAATTAAGACCAGATCTGGAGAAGGCAACACTAAGATCTCATAGTATTACCAGATGAAGCCAAAAGAAGAGTGAATAAAACTGATTTCTACAAAATAGCTAATTTTCCAAATGTGGTAGGTGTAATTGACGGTACGAATATACCAATCAAGGCGCCAAATGACAATGAATAACAGTATGTAAACAGATAGAATTTTCATTCAATTAACGTCCAATGTATTTGTGATGCAAACTTCAAAATTATCAACGCTGTATTCAGATGGCCCGGCAGTACACATGATTCTTATATTTGGAATAACTCACAGATATGCATGCAGTTTGAGGAAGGTGACATAGCTAACGTGTGGCTCTTAGGTAAATCAATTATATTATATTAGAAAACAAGTACCTTAATCTCGGTAACAACAATTATCGCAACAATCTTGACCCCATGAAAATTACTTTCCATTATATTTATTTCCTGCATATTTGGGGAAAATATTTATTTTCTGCATTTTGTTGGGCAAAATATTTCTATTCATTCTGTTTGAGTTAAGGTTATATTTTTCAGTTCTTAACAGGCTAGAATATGTACTTTCATAATCCTCCTGCTCAACTCCTCCTTTAGTTTTTCCTCTTGCCCCGAGAAAATCAAATGATGGTCGTCCCCAAATCAAAACTTATCAATCAAACATTTTTGTTTTGTTAATTATGTTTCATTTTGTTTAGAATAATTACTATGCTTAGTATAACGGACGCCATAAAAATAGAATATCTTGTATATTACATTGTATGTTCTACTCTGAGGGTGTTAAACGACCATTGTTATACCCATAAGGGTTTCGCATGGTCGGAAAAAATATCTTGTGTTAACATTTCGTCACTAGGTAGCTTGTTCGCCACGAGTTAAGGACGTCGCCGAAAGTTCGAAACCAGCCTAGGTCAAACGGAAGACTTTAAAAATTCGTATTTGCTGCTACTCCACAAATACTGGTTGAATCGAAGTAAAAACAATGTGTCCAGGTAGGGTGACATGTCTTCCTGCGGACTATTACTTTGTGAACTAGCCCGTTAAAAATCCTGCTCGGCGGGTTGGTCTAGCTAGTACAAAGCAAGGTCAATATTTATGTCACATTAACATGTTCTCGTCCTGAATATGCATTTAATTTTCCGCTGGACGATCAACCAGTTGCCGATTCAGGGGGCGTAGCGGGTGTATCCTCCCTTTTGATTGGACATGTATCCTTTTTTCACCATAAAATCGGCCACAAAAGATTTTGACATCGCTACATACGGCATTTTTTTCTTTCTTCAGTTTTGTGAAATTACGCTCTACTTTTACAAAAATTCTGGATCCACCCCAACGTTAAATATCCTGTCGTCATCATCATCTTCATTGACTTCTTTTAATATAATGTTTTTCTTTGTTGAACACCATTTGTTAACTTAAATATATGAACGTTGTTTGATTACAGGTGAAAGTGGTTACGCTTTGAAACCTTGGATGTTAGTTCCATTCATGAACCTCTCTACGCCAGCTGAGGAGGAGTACAACAGAAGACATTGCAGAACGAGGGTAACAATAGAGCAGCTATTTGGAATTGTCAAATCTCGCTTTAGATGTATTCATAAAACAGGTGGATGCCTATGTTATGCACCAGCAAAATGTTGCAGTATAATAGCTGCTGTGTTTATTCTGCAAAACATTTGTGTGGATAGTAAGATACCATGTATTGAAAATGATGTTATGCCTGATGAAGACAATGACCTAAATCCGCCATTAAATGAAGGTGTGGTATGTGAGAGTAGACAACATATTAGAAGGGATCTCGCCGCTCGAGTTCGTTTGAAAAATTGTTCAACAATCAAAATGATAAATTTAATTTAAATACTATTTTCATTTTCTGACTCAGTAAGAGAAAACTTTGTAACATCAAACAAACATATTTTACATTTGTAGGTAGCTCATCATTGAACCAGATTGAGAATAAAAGGGGGAACATAAATTGAAGTTCTGTTGACTTAATTGTCTGTCTTCTTCCAATTTGAGCCTCTTAGTTTCAATTCCCAAGCGACTTTGCTCAATATCAAGCCTGTCTTGTTCTTCTTGTAATCTCCTTTTCTCTACACCGAGCCGTTCTGTTTCAATTTGCAGTTTTTCTTTTTCCACTGCAAGCAGCTCTTCATCAACTCTTTTCCATACTGTTGTCAATCTTTTTCCTATTCCTGAGGCTACTGTGGCTGCTGCACTGGAACCACTATTCACTGCAATTCAAAATAACATGCAGAGTAAATCATCTTGTTATTCGATTGAACGCCTGTCAAAGAAAAAGCAACGACAGGAAGAAGACAACAGACAAGTTCATTAAATTTAACCTCAAAATTTTAGGGTTATATCAATGAGCATATCTTTTAACAAATTAAAACAAAATGCAGATACACAAAAGAATAACAAAACATCAATAAATGTATACTAAATGAGAAACACTATTATTTTTATGTATCTGCACATTTGTATTTCTAAAAACCTAGAAAACATAATTGTTCTTGGTAAACTTCATTTTAAAAATCACGGCAACACATTGATTTAAACATGCATCTTAAATACAATTCCTGATTGAAATTATCAGTTATGAAATATTAAATGACGTTTTCTGTAGAACACAAGATCGCATCATAATTTATTAAATAACCATCTTCTTCGTGAAAAGCAGAGTTTAATTCGCTCCTCGTCGTAACTTTTGACGAGATTATTATATGTGACCACATCTACCATCACCAAAGCTAAACTCGTAGGCGCTGGAGTACGGACCCCCTTTTGTGTGTGTGCTTGTTTTTTTTTATCAAATTCTTCAACTCATTTTTCATAGCTTTTCATAACTTTCTTTGTGATCTTGCCCGTATCCATACAATTCTACTATGTCTACACAAGGCGTAAGGTCCCTGCTCAATAGCCAGTGTTTTCGTGTCTTAATTGATATAAAAGAAAGGATATGGGGTATCCATCCCTGGCACAATCAGTATATGCACGGACAAAAACACAAACAACAAAGGAACAACTTTTATTGCCGTTCTTCTTCTTATATTTACAGTGAGGTCTTCAACACTGAGCAAAAATTCTTACTTCTTGCAAGTTTAAAACGACCCTTAGCACCAGTTTGAGTGGAATTCTTTGCAAACAGATGATCACGCAACAACTGTGAATTGAACTTGAACGAAGTCATGGAGCTATATCAATATAACATTATAAATCTGGCAAAGAAATCGAAATGTAGCCCGACAGTCACACTGAAACGTGAAAAAAACAAAACAAACATATTGTCAACCGTGGGGCTTAAATTTTACCTTAGTTCACCCTATACAAGCTTGGAAATATCTCGATCCTAAACTAAATGAAAATTCATTTTTATAAAACATATACCGACTTGACCACTTGAAAGTGTGGAGCTTGTACAAAATATGGAACTGACCTGCCTTAGCTTGCATATCTGTTAACTTTGGACTTTCATTGTTGGTTAAAGAAACGGTCTCCTCATGAAATTCACAGGAAACGACAGCGTCTAATAAAAAAATAATAATCATTATTACTTTTTCTTTGGATGATTTGAGGATGATATATACATCGCATTAAAGAAAACTGTACATTTAAGGTGGTGCACAGACAGTATAAAATTTCCTTACCTTATTGTTTTAGTTAACGTCAAACATTTTACTTAAAGAGAATAATTAATCCATTCAAATACACCTTATCGCTATTTGTCCGCCATTACTGGACATCACACAAGTTCCCGTAAAATTTTGACGTCATAATAGAAAATGTCTGACGCCACAATGGAAAAGTGATTGTTGTATGACGTCAAAAGTTCGAGCGGGACAGATTCTCGGGTCAAGCGGGAATAGCGATAAGGTGTATTTACAGCTGAACTCGCCATTGCTTTTTTAAACAAACACACTAAATGACACTAAATGTGTGTACATTCTGTTCAGATGCATGTTGACATCGATGTGTAAGACCAAAAAACTACAATGTAAAAAAATTTCTTTCTTTTGGAATTTAGTTCAAACGGGGTTTCCTAAGGGGTGACAGAACGTTAGACTTGATTTTTTTTTTAAACTTTGAGATACGTATTATTAATTTGTTTTATAGTATAGATCTATATAGTTTCTAACCTTTGTTTATCTGTGAAAAAAGAAGAAAAAATAACAGATAATTTCGAATAATTTATTAACGTAATTGTTAAAGGACGGCATTATTTTCTTTAATAATAAGACACATGCTTATAATATAGAAAGACATCTATTTCTGACCCCAATGGCATGTTAGAAATAGAAAACATCATTGACATCGAAAATCTGATATAAATCCCTTTTTCATTGGTGTGATTTAGTCAGATTATGAGAAAAAACTATCTAATCGTAGAGACACACTCTTTTGGCATGAGTTCATTTAGGAATTTTGGTAAAATCGATATGGCCCCAAATGCTGTAACTATTTTCGTTCATTGCTTCCGACTTAATGATGTAGTATCTATTTTTCAAAACTAGTACATGGTTAGTTTGAAGTATGAAATAAAAGAGGAAAATTTTGGTACCAATAGTTTACCCCAATCATAATTACGGACGACGTACTTTCCTTTTGACTGTGGTTGATTCTTTAAGTTTTTTTAATTTGATTTGATACATGCACAAATATAATGACAAACTGGTTACTTCAAAAACTCTTCTCCAATTTTAAAAAGACATGCGGATTCGGTGTAAATGAGACTTTAATTCCAGGACACAAACAATTAACAAAGGTATATAGAGGTAAACTTACAGTCGGTCATTATACGATATTTCAAACACTAAAAGGATAAAGTATACATAGTCTGTGAATAAATAATCAGAGACTACTTAAATTTGCTATCAGCATTCATTTCCTAAAATAAAATATAGCAGTCGAATGTAAACGATCACAACCGCTTGGACAATAAAAAAAAAACTCAAATAGTACCGAAAACAACGACTGGGACTATAATCAACTCTGACATGAGTGAAAACAACCGCTGTTGACTGACACAGATAAATGGTGGCGGGTTGAAATAGTCACTCATATCCCATCCCTTGTATAATAATAAAGTTAGATAGAAGATTGCACTTGTGTGAAGAATAGACGATTTTAGACTACCCTTTATTTTCCAGTTGAAAAATTTGAAATAGAACTCTTTTTACACGAATGGACATTTTCAAATTACATGAATTAATCAACCCTTTCTTGTATGTTCTTAAAACTGCTTTGTTATATGCAATATTCAGGTACCACCATAAGGAAAGCTTTTCACATAAAATTTTAAAATAAACTACTGGATTAGATGATCACGATGAGGACGTGGCGCAGCGAATGTTCGCTCCTTCGAGATTTGGATTTTTTTAAAGCCAAACGGAAACATTTTTTACAACACTGTGGTCAAGGAATTACAAGAAAGGCCCCATTATATTTTTTATACTTGTATCTCTTTTCCTTCGCTCTATTTGATTATATCTTGATCTTTTTCATATACATGTATAGTCATACGAAGTAGTTTGATTAGAGTCTTGTTTAATCTTTCCTACTAACAAAACAAAAAACAAAACAAAAAACGATTCAAAATGATGACAATAGTTTACTAGTTTTAATGAATCAGATGGACTCAAAAAATCTACATGCTGTTAATAACTTTTGTATAAAAACAAGTTCGTATATCAATTAAGTGTTTTGGATTTTCATTTTCAATACTTGTATTAGCTTAACTTTTGCATAGAATCCTGCACTGCCGTCCGTGTTTATATATTTTTTTTCTTTAGCTACCGTCAAATAATTTTGGTTGTGAAAATAAACAATTCAGAATTTTCTTTTGGCACCAGTATTATTTTGAAAGAGTCCGTTATGATATGAAAGTCATGATATTTGGTTATTTAGCCACCAAAGACATCAGGACAAGGCTATAAAATACGGGTCGTCGTACTGCCTTCAACAATACTTTTGTATATATGATCTCCCCCCAGTTTTTGGTTGGATTCGTGTTGCTTAGTCTTTAGTGTTCTATGTTGTGTGATTACTGTTAATTGTCTTTTGGTCATTTTTCGTGTTTCGCCATGGCATTGTCAGTTTGTTTTTGACTTGTGAGTTTGACTATCCCTTTGGTATCTTTCGCCGCTCTTTTTTATATGCAAGACTGGCCTTCATATAATTCAGTGTGAAACAATTAAAAGGAGAAAGTTCATGACATGTTAAGTTTTTAGCATTGAAGGATCGAAAACAGACATGACAAACAAAGGGTATATGATAACGACAACCACTTGGCCAAAACCTTCTTCCTGGCTTTTGAAAAGCCCAGTAAATTTTTGTAGGCGCTGATCCCCTCTTCTAACATAGAACTGTCGTATACCAGTATAACATTAAAACAAATAGCAAAAAACATTTGAAAAGAGTTTGACTTGTCATAATTGGACCAAGCACAAAAAAACCTAACACAATGACAAAAGACAAAAAGTAATAAAAAAATAAAGGATAGGTAATTCAAAACACGATCTTAACTAAAAATGGAACATATTTTCAAACATGATTGAATTGACAACAAAGTAGGACGCATAAACAATTAAGGCGGAGTATAAAAATTGTAAGCCATGATCAAGTATTAGAATGATAAATAAAAAATTCAGGGTATGATTTGGCTTTTCGCAGAAATCTTTTTAAAAGATATTGCCGAAATTATTAATAACTTTAATATTATTTTGGTATTTTTAATACTTATTAAGTCAACATATGTTTTCACCAACAGCAATTGGACAAGTTTCTCAAGAAATATGTTGGGTAAAATTGTGCATTCAAAAACAGATATTCCCAACTTCGACCGACTTTATCTGCCGAGCTAGCTTTCTAAATTTGAACAAACAGTTTTTATTGAACATATTTACAGAAATCAAACTGTGATACCAATTATCGAACGAATTGTAATCTGTAACACTTCCCATTGTGAACATCGGTAAAAACTCAATGGTTTTACTGCAAAACGTTACCAGTAATTTCAAGTACCTGCCACTTTTATACGCATAAACGTCACACACAGCACCAGGTTTGATGACGTCATTCGGATAAATGTTACAATTTAAAAATAAAATAACAATTGTTTTTTTACAGTCAACCATGTGAACTAATTTCACTAAGTTAATTTGATAAATAAAGGCATACAGAGTTTATAGTTGGAGGTTAGCTTGTGTAAAAATTTGAACGTTACCTCTTAAAAAATTGTTTTCAACCTCAAAAGTTCAATATATTTTTGGGACATTTAGGGTTATTATTGTATAACAGAACAAAGTCAGTTATTTTTCTTCAACCGTATTATGGTTTCGGCAGTAAAATGATGTTTTTTGTATACTTTTTAAATGGTTTATAGGTTCTGTTAAAAAGCAACAAAAATGTCGTTTTGGCGTGCTAGCGGTAAACGACAAAAATGTCGTTTTGGCGCCGAAAGGGTTAACGCATTTCATTTTTTTTTTAATTTGAATGATTTCTTGGCTTTCACAAAGAAAATGTAAATGCTGTATGTACTAATGCTCACAATTTTCCTATTTTATCTTCATTGGGTCTTTTTTCATGAAACGAAATTGAACTGATCCTTCAAATATGTCTTCAATATAAAATAAGAGGTATATATCAAAAGTAATTCACCTACATGTACAAACTAGATGCTAAGAGTATATTTATTTCTTCAATTAATTCTTTCAAATATACGTCAGCATTACACAAGCTCTTTAGTAAATAATTAACAGCACTTCGGAATGCAGTTTTAAATCTATGGAAGCCGGTTAGTATCAGGGTGTAGTTTTACTATAAAGTCGTTATAACGACTTAGCTAATTTGTTATAACGACTTAGCTTATCTAGCTCATTATAACAACTTAGCTAACTCGTTATAACAACTTAGCTAACTCGTTTTAACGACTTAGTAGCTAGTAAGTTAGTTTAGTTGTTATAACGAGTTAGATAAGCTAAGTCGTTATAGCAAGTTAGCTAAGTCGTTTTAACGAGTTAGCTAATTCGTTTTAACGACTTAAAAATAAAACTACACCCTGACACTAACCGGCTTCCGTATAAATCCTATTATGAAATGTAGTATAAACTTGAAAGATTTTTTGAGCAATTAGAAGACCTATAAATTAACTTGTAAGGACATCTACATCTATGTTATTTGAATATCTATTAAGAATGGGGAGATCCATTTTTTTTATATTGTGGGAACTTGGTTTGAAACATATTACAAATCATTCTTCTTACCTCGGTAGTAAGTGTCCCGGTTCAAGTTTATCAATACAAAATTTAAAAATCATTGATATATAACACTACGTTTGTTATGCAACGGAAAAATGTAAGACCTATCAATGTTTTGTATTTGTTGATAAATGTAGCACAAGTGTTAACGTTGATATCTCCATAAGTTTTTTTTATTTCTTAAGCGCGTCAACTATTACACAGCTTTAACCTTCATGTATCGGACAGAGTCAATGGTGTCATGACTTTGGCCAGTATATGACAAAACATCGG